GACGGTTTTGCCTTAGACGGTGATGATGCGGTCGCTGCCGATGCTGCCTTTTTACCCTTACCCGCGGCGGTGCTCTTCTTCACCTTCGCCGACACCGAGCTAGCGGCGGACGCGCCGCTCTTTGCGCCACCGCTGCTCTTACCCGTCGACGGTTTCTTAGAGGCGGACGATTTTGATTCAAGCTTAAAGGAACCGGAAGCCCCCTTGCCCTTTGTCTGTATAAGCGCACCCGATTCGACTGCGCTCTTCAGGTACTTTCTGATGAACGGAGCTAGTTTTTCAGCGTCGACTTTATATTGAGCGGCAATATATTTTTTTATCGCTTGCAAAGATGATCCACTGCGCTCTTTCAGCTCTTTAATTGCGCTGGTGACCATTTCGGAAGTCTTCGGATGAGTGGGTTTCGCCTTGGGCTTCTTTGCACCACCTGCTGCAGTAGCGGCGGCCTTCGGTTTTTTCGCCGGAGTCGCCGGAGCGGGAGTTTCGGAAGCTACTGCTGTATCTGCCATTACTTCGTAGTAGTAGTATTAGATCACAAACGAACTACAAACACTGACTCACACAACTCGCGATAGATGATAATAACAAAGGAAAATTGTAAATTGTTGTTATATATCGTACACAAATTGATATTACGTAGGATAATACACAGGTGGCGACACTATCGCCACCTTACCCCCCCAACCAAAGCTTAACCGTAAGGAGAACCGCGGTGCTGCGAGACGTTTTCTCGTACGAACACTTCTAACTTTTCACTAGAACGTCTCGAATAAAATTTAATTTTTACCGTGATATATAAATATTATCGTATTCAGAAAGTTAATACGGTATATATTTGAGATTGTGCACGTAACAGACAAACCCGTTACGTATATAAGCGATCGAGAAACGAGCAATGGATGTTTATTTTGTTCACTATATTCTGAGCGTACCATGAGCCGCCTTTTAAAATGATTTTTCTCTATTTGCTCATTAGTTTAGTTAAATTTAAATCGGTCTATTGAAAGTTAATATCCTGAGGTTAGACAGAAGGCAGAGGTCACGCCGGTAATGCATTATTCGTAATGCAACGACCTATTATACGTCGAAGGTCGTAAAACACGAAGAGGTCTCGAGGCTCACAGACCGAAGTCCCTATACAAAGCGTACGATCTTTGAAAATAGTCTATAATATTTTAAAATTTGTCCACTGTAATCTGAAATAATTATTATAAATCATCATTATTTCTAGAATGTTGCAACACGTTCCCATACTTCTTTAAAATACGTACAAAAGCTGGGCACGCTTCAGAGCAACGTATGTTTATAAAGCGTTAAGTATTTAAAAAAAAAATGAAGTGTGATATTATTAAAATATAGTATATCATATTATTATGTATATATTAAATAATAAGGGAGATAAATAAGAGAGAAAAAAAAAAAATACAATTCGGAATTATGATAATATATTCCTAAGACGTTCGAACCATTATTTCAATATGGCGATATTTTACACTTGTTGTTTAATAGGTATCGTCAAATTTAAGAAGAGTATAGTCATTTAATGCCTACATGAATTGACGTTTCTTTCATTCAGATCAGTTTTTCGAAATTATTTCGAATTAAAAAAATAAATAAAAAATAAACCTAATTTTGTTCCGCGTTTAATTGGTATACATAAAAATCTTATGTGATGCCTTTACAGCTTTTAAATAACATAACTTTATAGACAGACACATCTAATTCTAATATGCACTTACATACATGATCATAAACACACATACATTCGCACTTATATACATAATCATGCCATTTATACACATATCCATACAACAAAATACATGCTTGCACATATCATTTCTTTTTTTTTTTTTAAATGACGATACTCTACGAAACAAATACAAGTTATATTGATAGTTTTGCGGCCCTGAAAAGGGCCTTTTTTTTTATTAACTTATACGATTAGGAAAATCGTCTCATCACGTAACTTAACTCTCAGAGTCCCGCATACCAAGTAGCAAATACACACTGCGCACATGGTGTACTATAGACGAACTCAGAGCGGACAGAGAGCCGTAGTACGTGGCGGTGGACGACGTCTTCATCGCGTATAAGAAATTAACCACCGAATCCGTAGAGGGTACGTCCTTGACGTTTCAGGGCGTAGACGACATCCATTGCGGTGACGGTTTTCCTCTTCGCATGCTCGGTGTATGTAACAGCGTCACGAATCACGTTCTCAAGGAACACCTTGAGTACACCGCGTGTCTCTTCGTAAATTAACCCGGAGATACGTTTCACACCGCCCCTGCGTGCGAGACGTCTGATAGCCGGTTTGGTGATACCCTGGATGTTATCACGAAGAACTTTTCTGTGCCGCTTCGCTCCACCTTTCCCCAAACCTTTACCACCTTTACCGCGACCGGTCATTTTCGCTTAGAGAAGAAAGACAACACACGAAATAATATATATACAGACTTAACGTACGTTACGAACGCACGACGACAGATAGACCGCACCTTTCGTTTTTCCCGTTTATATAAAGTCACCCAGACGACTGAGACGGCTGAGGCGAGGGTGCGGGGAAGTATAAAATGGCGGGCAAATAATAAGGCGAAGGCGGGGGGAGGGGAGGGGGGGGGGGGGGGGGGTGGATGTTTCGTGTTGCTGTAGATGGTACACGGAAAAAAAAAAAAAAATTGTCGAAATATCGTTTAAAATTTGGAAGAGGTAGTTAGTCTCTATATAATAATAAATAAATAAATTTGTCAGTTCGATACGCGCGCCATCTATTGTAAGTTTATTAGTTAGCAATAAGTTGACTAAATTTTAACGCAATCTGATGAACGGTATGGTAGCGCATTATATACGAACAAACAAAAATAAAATTTATATATTAGAATATAGAAAGGTATCTAATTAGTTACTACGTATAAAGTAATACGATTTTGTCCTGCGACAATGGTTAGACTCCATCCAATGAGTCCTGAGGTCAATCCGCATACTATAAAAAAAAAAAAAAAAAAAAAAGAGAAATTAGTCAATCCCCCATTAATTTTAATACTCAAAGCCCGCCATGAAATAATGTCGCGGGGTGAACGAGGTGTATATAAAGTACAGATAATATTATTGTCGAAACATGTCGTTTTCTATTTTGTATCACTTCATTTAATATGATTATCCAAAGTAAGATATTATAATTTATATTATTATGAAGACGAAGATTTTTATTTATTTAAAAAAAAAAAAAACTGCATCCTAACTAACAGAAGCGTTCTGCGCGTGAACATTGGTGGTGGTAGTCTTCGCGGGCAGCGGCGGCGCAGGCATCGTCGGCGCCGATCGTCGATGATGGTGATGAATGATCATCCGTCGTGAGACAGGTAAGCTTTACCCTACTGTGTATCTTATGATGTTAAATAGTATACAGTTTGTCGTCTATTATACTAGATTAGTACATCTATCTATTAATTTATTTAAACGGTATCTAAATAAACATTTCGATTTGCTGAGCCTTAATTCGATATTATGTTTTTGTTATCTCATAATATTACCATACCATACCATACCATCTATCTATCTATCTATCTATCTATCTATCTATTACTTGCTCGTTTAACGTTCTCTTATATTCTAAAGAAACGCACAGTTTATTGTGTAGAAACATATGCGGCCCTGAAAAGGGCCTTTTATGAAAGTGAAAGAGAACATACGTTAAAACCAACACAATCATCATCATCTTGTCAACGTGTAGTTGTTGTTGTTAATGAGGCATATTTAATATTGCCACTTTCACACTGCCAATCGATGATTGATGTTAAAAATTAAACGTAGTTCACAACACAATCGGTAGAGTAGAGTTTATTAAGCTCGTTCACCGCGAATTCTGCGCGCCAACTGTATGTCTTTCGGCATAATGGTTACGCGTTTTGCATGAATCGCGCATAAGTTGGTATCTTCGAACAACCCGACTAGGTAAGCTTCGCTAGCCTCTTGAAGGGCCATCACGGCGGAGCTCTGGAAGCGGAGGTCGGTCTTGAAATCCTGAGCGATTTCACGCACCAAACGTTGGAACGGCAATTTGCGGATGAGGAGCTCGGTGCTCTTCTGGTAGCGACGAATCTCACGGAGAGCGACGGTACCGGGCCTGTAGCGATGTGGTTTCTTAACACCGCCGGTTGCTGGTGCGCTCTTACGGGCTGCTTTGGTGGCCAGTTGTTTACGCGGCGCTTTACCACCGGTGGATTTCCGAGCGGTCTGCTTAGTACGTGCCATTGTTACGTTACACTAACTCAACTAATACACAATATATTCACTATACGACTATACGTTCTCAACGCGCGGGATACTGAAATCGTCGCGAGTGGCGACGCTTTTATATGGTCGACAAATGTGCGGTTACAGGCGAGACTTCTCTACCCATCTCTTTTCCTCCTCCTCCCCCCCCCCCCCCACCCCCACCCCCTCTCCGTTTTTACTTCATCGTGAATATCGGGTAGACCAAGCATTCGTATTAAAAACTTTTAAATAATAATAATATACAATATTATGATATTTGCATTATAGAGAACCCTCGAGGTCTTAATTTCATATGAAATCACTAATATCTTGCTCAAAATATACTCCTTGTAATAAAAATATCGTTTGTGTCTTAAATTGTAGGTTATAATTATATCTAATAGTTATTAAGCTCTCATAGGCGCGTATTATAGCAGATTTCTAGTTATTAAGTAGACTATTCTAAATTTATTTTACGTAATTTCAAATAAGATCCCTTTATTATTATTATTATTTTTTATTTTTTTTCGTATCCTTTTATGTATTAGTTGTATGTAAGTATTTTAAAATTGTACATTTGCATGCGAAGTATATCTATAAAAGAATAAATACTCTTAGCGTAGCGGACGAACGAGCGAAATGTAGGGTGACGTTATTATGAGAAACGGATAGTAATACGATATATTTTGTGGCCCTGAAAAGGGCCTTTGAAATACACCTAAAACACACACCAATCACCGACCTTACTTGGAGCTGGTGTATTTGGTGACTGCCTTGGTGCCCTCTGACACGGCGTGCTTGGCGAGTTCACCGGGCAACAGCAGTCTCACGGAGGTCTGCACTTCCCGTGAAGTAATAGTCGAACGCTTGTTGTAATGAGCCAAGCGCGAGGCCTCTGCGGCTATGCGTTCGAAGATGTCGTTAACGAAAGAGTTCATTATGGACATCGCTTTACTGGATATACCAGTATCGGGATGCACCTGCTTGAGCACCTTGTAGATGTAGATGGCGTAACTCTCCTTCCTCTTGTGCTTCTTCTTCTTCTTATCCGACTTGGAGATGTTTTTCTGTGCCTTACCAGACTTCTTGGCGGCTTTACCACTAGTTTTCGGCGGCATCTTGAAGAATATTTAATGTAAATGTGATCACGGATAATACTAAATTATCACTGAACATTTTTTTTTTCTTATATAACGACTATCACGGTGACTCTACTAGCTAGTGGTCTAACGAGCGTATCGAGTGTAGATCAACCAATCAACGACCAGTTTGCCCGGACAAATGGAAGGGGCAGGGTAGAGAGTAGGGGAATACGGACGGAAGATTAGTTTAGAAAGAACGCAATTTTTATTTTATTAAACATTCCAATATAAGTAATATATAATTATACTAATACCCAATTATTTTAATTAATTTAATAAAATAAATCATTATCGAATATTTTATAATAATAAAATTAACTACTGATAATGTTTTAATAATGCATTTAAATTTATAATTAACATAATACATTGAGTCCATTTATCGCGGCGAAGCAATCCTCTAATCCATCTAAAGCCAACGGCAACGGTGAAGTTCATAAGAGATTTTTACTACATAATATGTTGAACGGTAAGTATTAATATATGTTTCTCTTCAAAAAAAAAAAAAAAAAAAAAATTATTTTTTTTACCTTTTAGTCTATTGATTATTATTAATTCATAATAAATATGGCTCTAGTCTTATCGTTACCATTACCAATATAAAGTAATAGCGTACAAAAAGGAATAAGGTATAGGATAGGATAGGAGGAACTGAGGAAAGAGGCTTTAAAGAACGTTCGCATTCTAAGAGACTAAATTTATAAATTATCGATAGTATTTGTGGCCCTCAAAAGGGCCTTTTAATCACGTACCACCACGAACGGTAGATAGCAATAGAGCAGTAGAGACACGCGAGTCGACGGACGGCGAATGCACCATTATTATACTAAGGAGCGTAAAACAGAATATGCAATACGTATATAGTACAATTAGGGCATTACCGATCGATAAAACGTCGACGCATACTCTCGTCTAATGTTCTCAACCATTTTCTTGGGCCTAGTGGTGTGGTGTAGTAATGCGACGGGAGTAGTGTACACACTCGTTTAGGCCTTCTTCTCGGTCTTCTTGGGAAGAAGGACCGCCTGAATGTTGGGTAGTACACCGCCCTGGGCGATCGTCACACCGGAGAGGAGCTTGTTCAACTCTTCATCGTTGCGGATGGCAAGCTGAAGATGTCTCGGTATGATTCTGGTCTTCTTATTGTCCCGAGCAGCGTTACCGGCCAACTCTAGAACTTCAGCGGCGAGGTACTCCATGACTGCGGCCAGGTACACCGGAGCGCCGGCACCCACACGCTCTGCATAATTTCCCTTTCGCAGCAGCCTGTGAATACGTCCAACGGGGAATTGTAGACCGGCACGATTCGAACGGGACTTTGCCTTTCCCTTCACTTTACCGCCTTTACCACGTCCAGACATTGTCGTTAATACGTAATAATAAAATTCTATAAATGTAGAAAATTAAACACTCGTCTCTATATAGACGACGTCAACACCGATATAAACTAATTTTTTTAAACTTGCGACGTTCCTTTATATAGCCAGCATCGATTCGCCACTAGGTGGGGTGGGGATCGCGAACGCAACACGTTTGCGCGGTCGGTCCGGTCAGACTTTTAGTTAGTTGGAAAATCTCAAGTCAGAGTTGGGAGTTGGGAGTTGGGAGTCGGGAGTCGGGCAGTCGGGCGAGGGCGAAACGAATGTACTTGTAAAGAAGAAAAAAAGAAGAATACTAGGTAGCAGCAATAGGATATAACGCGTTAGAATAGAATAGTATAATATATCGTCGTCGAAGAGGAAGAAAAACGAAAAACTGTAACAAAAAAATTGTAAATTGTTGTTATATATCGTACACAAATTGATATTACGTAGGATAATACACAGGTGGCGACACTATCGCCACCTTACCCCCCCAACCAAAGCTTAACCGTAAGGAGAACCGCGGTGCTGCGAGACGTTTTCTCGTACGAACACTTCTAACTTTTCACTAGAACGTCTCGAATAAAATTTAATTTTTACCGTGATATATAAATATTATCGTATTCAGAAAGTTAATACGGTATATATTTGAGATTGTGCACGTAACAGACAAACCCGTTACGTATATAAGCGATCGAGAAACGAGCAATGGATGTTTATTTTGTTCACTATATTCTGAGCGTACCATGAGCCGCCTTTTAAAATGATTTTTCTCTATTTGCTCATTAGTTTAGTTAAATTTAAATCGGTCTATTGAAAGTTAATATCCTGAGGTTAGACAGAAGGCAGAGGTCACGCCGGTAATGCATTATTCGTAATGCAACGACCTATTATACGTCGAAGGTCGTAAAACACGAAGAGGTCTCGAGGCTCACAGACCGAAGTCCCTATACAAAGCGTACGATCTTTGAAAATAGTCTATAATATTTTAAAATTTGTCCACTGTAATCTGAAATAATTATTATAAATCATCATTATTTCTAGAATGTTGCAACACGTTCCCATACTTCTTTAAAATACGTACAAAAGCTGGGCACGCTTCAGAGCAACGTATGTTTATAAAGCGTTAAGTATTTAAAAAAAAAATGAAGTGTGATATTATTAAAATATAGTATATCATATTATTATGTATATATTAAATAATAAGGGAGATAAATAAGAGAGAAAAAAAAAAAATACAATTCGGAATTATGATAATATATTCCTAAGACGTTCGAACCATTATTTCAATATGGCGATATTTTACACTTGTTGTTTAATAGGTATCGTCAAATTTAAGAAGAGTATAGTCATTTAATGCCTACATGAATTGACGTTTCTTTCATTCAGATCAGTTTTTCGAAATTATTTCGAATTAAAAAAATAAATAAAAAATAAACCTAATTTTGTTCCGCGTTTAATTGGTATACATAAAAATCTTATGTGATGCCTTTACAGCTTTTAAATAACATAACTTTATAGACAGACACATCTAATTCTAATATGCACTTACATACATGATCATAAACACACATACATTCGCACTTATATACATAATCATGCCATTTATACACATATCCATACAACAAAATACATGCTTGCACATATCATTTCTTTTTTTTTTTTTAAATGACGATACTCTACGAAACAAATACAAGTTATATTGATAGTTTTGCGGCCCTGAAAAGGGCCTTTTTTTTTATTAACTTATACGATTAGGAAAATCGTCTCATCACGTAACTTAACTCTCAGAGTCCCGCATACCAAGTAGCAAATACACACTGCGCACATGGTGTACTATAGACGAACTCAGAGCGGACAGAGAGCCGTAGTACGTGGCGGTGGACGACGTCTTCATCGCGTATAAGAAATTAACCACCGAATCCGTAGAGGGTACGTCCTTGACGTTTCAGGGCGTAGACGACATCCATTGCGGTGACGGTTTTCCTCTTCGCATGCTCGGTGTATGTAACAGCGTCACGAATCACGTTCTCAAGGAACACCTTGAGTACACCGCGTGTCTCTTCGTAAATTAACCCGGAGATACGTTTCACACCGCCCCTGCGTGCGAGACGTCTGATAGCCGGTTTGGTGATACCCTGGATGTTATCACGAAGAACTTTTCTGTGCCGCTTCGCTCCACCTTTCCCCAAACCTTTACCACCTTTACCGCGACCGGTCATTTTCGCTTAGAGAAGAAAGACAACACACGAAATAATATATATACAGACTTAACGTACGTTACGAACGCACGACGACAGATAGACCGCACCTTTCGTTTTTCCCGTTTATATAAAGTCACCCAGACGACTGAGACGGCTGAGGCGAGGGTGCGGGGAAGTATAAAATGGCGGGCAAATAATAAGGCGAAGGCGGGGGGAGGGGAGGGGGGGGGGGGGGGGGGGTGGATGTTTCGTGTTGCTGTAGATGGTACACGGAAAAAAAAAAAAAAATTGTCGAAATATCGTTTAAAATTTGGAAGAGGTAGTTAGTCTCTATATAATAATAAATAAATAAATTTGTCAGTTCGATACGCGCGCCATCTATTGTAAGTTTATTAGTTAGCAATAAGTTGACTAAATTTTAACGCAATCTGATGAACGGTATGGTAGCGCATTATATACGAACAAACAAAAATAAAATTTATATATTAGAATATAGAAAGGTATCTAATTAGTTACTACGTATAAAGTAATACGATTTTGTCCTGCGACAATGGTTAGACTCCATCCAATGAGTCCTGAGGTCAATCCGCATACTATAAAAAAAAAAAAAAAAAAAAAAGAGAAATTAGTCAATCCCCCATTAATTTTAATACTCAAAGCCCGCCATGAAATAATGTCGCGGGGTGAACGAGGTGTATATAAAGTACAGATAATATTATTGTCGAAACATGTCGTTTTCTATTTTGTATCACTTCATTTAATATGATTATCCAAAGTAAGATATTATAATTTATATTATTATGAAGACGAAGATTTTTATTTATTTAAAAAAAAAAAAAACTGCATCCTAACTAACAGAAGCGTTCTGCGCGTGAACATTGGTGGTGGTAGTCTTCGCGGGCAGCGGCGGCGCAGGCATCGTCGGCGCCGATCGTCGATGATGGTGATGAATGATCATCCGTCGTGAGACAGGTAAGCTTTACCCTACTGTGTATCTTATGATGTTAAATAGTATACAGTTTGTCGTCTATTATACTAGATTAGTACATCTATCTATTAATTTATTTAAACGGTATCTAAATAAACATTTCGATTTGCTGAGCCTTAATTCGATATTATGTTTTTGTTATCTCATAATATTACCATACCATACCATACCATCTATCTATCTATCTATCTATCTATCTATCTATTACTTGCTCGTTTAACGTTCTCTTATATTCTAAAGAAACGCACAGTT